GTGGAGGGCTGACCTAAAGTCAAGGTGGCGACTAGCTACAGACACCTACAGTGGCAAGCATTTATTTGGCCAAGTCCTAGAGCCGTACCTGATTGAAAGGAAGGATAAGAGAAAGACCTTAGCTCATCCATCCAAGAAGGCGGATAAGAGGCCCCAACAAGAATTTTGCAGGCAGTCTTCTCGTGCCGGAAGTTCTTGGGAATGGAGGCAGCCCTTTCGATCAGGGCAGTCTTGGGCTTGGCCCAGAGATTCCCGATCCTTCTCCCCCAGATAGGATCGCCAACAGGACCGCCAAAATTCAGGAACCAGGGGTCAATCCCAATATAAGCGTCCCTTCAGAGGAGCTCGGGGACGTCCTTACAGGAAGTCTAAGTGACACCAAATTGGATCCTCCCATAGGCGGTCGCTTAGCTCTATTCAGCGACACTTGGGAGGTCACCACAAACGATACCTGGGTCAGGGAGACCATAAGATTCGGTCTAGCCCTAGAACTCAAATCCATCCCTCCAGACCGCTTCCTTCAGTGTCCTGCCTCAAGACACGCACATAGGCCGAGCTAGTAACCACAGCAATATCAGACTTATTAGAAATAAAGGCCATAGAACCAGTTCCTCTGGACCAAAGGGGAAAGGGGTTCTACTCCATACTCTTCGTGGTCCCCAAGGCCTCGGGGGGTTGGAGAGCGTTATTGGATCTGAAGGGACTCAACCGCTTCCTAATTTACAGGAGGTTCAAAATGCAGTCCCTCAAGTCCATTCTGGCCAGCGTCAGGAAGGGAGATTACCTCTCCTCCATAGACATGACAGAGGCCTACCTTCATGTTCCTATCCGACCACATCACCGCAGATTCCTCCGTTTCTGCCCTGCATGCAGACATTATCAGTACAGGGCCCTTCCCTTCAGTCTATCCTCGGCCCCTCGAGTGTTCTGGCAGTATTAGCGGCCCATCTCAGGCTGATACCGGTAAGAGTACAATGCTACCTGGATGATATAATTATCCAGTCCAGTTCATTCCGCACTGCACAGCTAGATCTAAAGACTACAATAGAGACACGGCTTTTCCGTGAATTTCAAAAAGAGTCACACCACACCTACCACTCAGATCTTACATCTTGGGGCAGTGATAGATTCAAACCTATGCAAGGTTTATCTCTCCCAGGAACGCAAGGACAGCATCAGATCTCTAGTTCACAGGATCCAGAGAGAGAGGGTAGTTCCACTTGTCCAGCTATCGCAGCTGTTGGGGAAGATGATTTCTTGCCTAGGAATAATGCCGTGGGCCAGACTTCACACCAGACATCTCCAATGGTTCCTACTCCCCTTCCAGAAGCGGAACATGAGTCCTTCCATACGGAAGGTGAGAGTTCCGCATCACACTCTACTGTCACTCAAATGGTGGGCGTCGCCAGCCATACACAAGGGGTCACTTTTCAAGGAGCCTCACAGACTCATCCTGACCACAGATGCCAGTCTGTTCGGTTGGGGAGTTTACATACAGACACACATGACACAGGGCCAATGGTCCAAACGCGATCTCGCACAAAACATAAATTGGCTAGAACTCAGGGCCAATTCTCCAACATAGTGACAGGGAATCATGTTCTGATAATGACGGACAACGTCGCAGCCAAAGCTCATATCAACAGGCAGGGAGGGACCAAGTCTTGGTCCCTCATGCACAAAGCCCTGGCATTGGGTCTGTGGGCAGAGTCCAATCTGAAATCCATCAGTGCAGAACATATTTCCGGGGAGGAGAATCGTCAGGCAGATTTTCTGAGCAGGGCGACGGTAGACCACTCGGAGTGGCGATTGGATCCGGCCCTCTTCAGGGAGATATCAGAGAGGTTTGGACAGCCTCAGATAGATTCACCAGCAAACGCTCAGCTTTCCAGATATTTCATGCAGTTTCCGTCACGGGGGACGGAGGGAACGTCCAAGGGACTTCTGTATGCATTCCCTCCACTTCCTCTGATTCCAGCTGTCATCAAGAAACTTCTATTAGAACAGGCAGAATTAATCTTGCTGGTCCCACACTGGCCAAGCTGTCCTTGGTTTGCAGATCTCGTGGACCTATCGGTCTCCCCGCCTTGGAAGATTCCATCAGATCGCATTTCCCTCAGTCAGGGTCAGCTCCAACACCCGGACCCACAGTGGCTTCAACTAGCCGCTTGGCACTCGAGCGGAAGAGTTTAGCCAGACAGTCCTATTCATCTGGAGTGATTGCTGTAATTCAAGCCTCCAGATGTCCTTCTACCAACAGGATTTATGATGCCACGTGGAAAAATTTCTGTACGTGGTGTAACGTTAAGAAGGTTAACCTGCTGGCGGTCACCATTCCGATATTGTTAGACTACCTTTTAGAAGGACTGAACAAAGGACTGTCGCATAATACCATTCACAGGCAGATCTCAGCATTATCCACTGTTCTCATTTGCAAGAATCAGGTCCAGCTATCTCATCATCCAGCAGTTACGGCTTTCCTTAAAGGAGCCATTAATACCAGTCCTCCTGTGGTACACAGATATCCCACATGGGACTTGCCAAAGGTACTACAGGTCCTTACAGGGTCACGATTTGAACCCATCAGATCATGTTCGCTACATTTCCTTTCCTGGAAGGTAGCCTTTTTGATAGCCATCACTTCGGCAAGACGCATCTCAGAACTAGCCGCACTCTTGGTCAGAGGGGACCTGTGTATTTTTCTGGATGACAGACTGATCCTCAAATTGGATCCTTCTTTCATTCCGAAAGTCAATGCCTGGTTCCATAGGTCTCAGGATCTGGTTCTTCTGGATTTTTGTCCATGACCATCTCACCGTCTTGAAAGGTTGTGGCACACATTAGACGTGCGCAGGGCTTTGCATCACTATGTGAAGCGAACCGCAGCATTTCGTAGATCGGAGGCACTGTTCGTGTCGTTCCAACCTTCTTCCATGGGTCTGAAGGTGTCATCCTCAACCATCGGTAGATGGATCAGAGCATGCATCTCTTATGCATACAAGGCTCAGTCTCTTCCTGTTCCTGCCAACATCACAGCTCATTCGACGCATAGCGCGGCTACATCTGCGGCCTGGTCTACCCAGGCCTCGATTGAGGAAATTTGCAGGGCAGCCACTTGGGCTTCCCTCTCTTCATTTATAAGGCATTACAAGCTTGATAAGTTCGCTGCCTCAGACGCATCCTTCAGCAGAAGGATCCTGCAGTAGGTAGTTTCTACACAAGAGTCACAAGCCTAGACTTCCCTCCCGACAGGGACATGGGTGGCTTTGGTATGTCCCATCAGTGGATGCTACATCTATCATGCTGGAGAAGGGGCGTTGTCTTACCTGAACGCCTTTTCTCAGCATGAAAATGTAGCATCCACACCCACCCTTAACAATTAGTCTAGGCAGATTTCTTTCAGGAGGAGCTACTGTGTCGGACCTAATGAATGCTTCGCCTCGACAAAACTGGGAAAGGAACGCCCAAGGGAGGCGTGGCTAAAGTTTGGTCTTAGTCTAAATCTGAGCAGGAAGGCTTTGATTACCCATCGGTGGATGCTACATCTTCATGCTGAGAAAAGGCGTTCAGGTAAGACAACGCCCCATCAATATGAATTGAACATTAGAAGGACCTTGGAGGTCTTCTAGTCCAGACCCCTGCTCAAGCAGGAGACTCTATACCATTTCAGACAAATGGCTGTCCAGTCTCTTAAAAGCCTCCAGTGATGGAGCACCCATATATTTTTTTTCAGCTGTAAGCTACTTTGAACTTAAAGATTTTAGCATTGAGCAGGAGACTCGGCATAGTTACACAAACCTTTCTATTTCTTTAATTCTTAAATATTAGCTAAATTAGCAATTTTTCAGAATGGAATAGTGATGTGGTAAGCTCACCGGAGAATATTTTTCAGTTTTGGAATACATTTGTTTTAAACAGTAAGATAAATATTAATGCTGAAGTCATTATATGGAGATTGAAGAATATCAGTGTTGACTTGAAATTTAAGCACATTGGCCTGTTAACAGAGCTTTAAACTTTGTAGTTATATATCTATAAGACTGGCATTTCAACATGCTGCTTCTGCATTTGCTGTTATATTTTCTGGTGGTGAGCCAAAACTCATTACAGGTAGTCCTAGACCAGGGGTGTCAAACTGCCGGCCTGCAGGCCGGTTGCATCATATGAAGGCCGCACCCATCCTAGCTCTGGCAATGCAAAAAAAGTCGCAATACATCGCAACACGTCACGTGACATGGCAGGTTTGACACTCGTGTCCTAGACTTACAATCATTCATTTAGTGATCATTTGAAGTTAGAACGGCACTGAAAAAAGTGGTTGCCCTACTCAACAACTGTTGCAGCATCCTCATGGTCAAAAAGTGAGCACTTGGTAGCTAGCATGTATTTAGGACAGTTGCACTATCCTGTGATCATGTGATCCCCATTCGTAACCTTCCCAGCCATTTGCCAATGGGGGAAGCCAAATTCGTTTAACGACCACATGATTCACTTAACAACTTCAGTGATTCGCTTAACTGTGGGGAAAAAAGGTAAACTGAGGCAAACCTCACTTAACCGCTGCCTTGTTTAGCAGGTGGAAGTTTGGGACTCAATTGTGGTTGTAAGATGAGGACTACCTGTGCATGTTTGTATATGTGATATCTTATTAAGTTTTAATATTAGGTATTCCTTATGGTCTACTACATTTAAAATTAATTTTAAGGGGCCTTCGATTAGCACTACCACAAACTGCCTACGAGGTTTTGTATCAAACTAAGCCATTAGGTGGCATTATTCGGTTTATGGTTTTGTGTGTCATGTGTGGAATCAGCCAATTGTGATCTATTTAGCAGACCCTTATTAATCAACTCATAATATAAGACAATACATGAATTTAGCCTGTATGGAGGGTTTTACTTTTCCCTTTTAAATTAATGGTTGAATCTTAAAATTAAAACTTGGATTAACTTCAGCTTTCAATAACATTCTGTATTGTATATTTGTTGTTGTTTATACAGTTGATGGGATAGACAAGGCATCAGTTGCCAACTCAGATGGGACGAATCCAGGATCTCAGACTCCTCCATTTAAGAGGAAGGGCAAACTTTCAACCATTGGCAAAATCTTCAAACCGTGGAAATGGCGAAAGAAGAAAACAAGTGAAAAATTTATAGAAACCTCAGCAGGTATGATTGTTGATATTGACAAATACTTTATGAAACCTGAAAAGATTATAATTGCTAGAGTTGCAAAGAACCATGCAATTAGATCTACCATATTATCTTTTAGATTTGAGCAGTGTTCAATGTTGTTCCCTGCTTCTCATGATGACTTTTGCCAGTTCTTCAAAATTTGCCTAATGTTAACTTTTTTTTTTTTTTTGCATTTCTATCTTTCAGTATTTCTATACTCCTTCCTGCATATTTTCCTCCCAGGGATGAACTTTGTAGTTGTGCCACGATCCTTTTTTAAAAAACATTTGCTTGTTACAATGAACTCCTGACTCCCGATTTATTGCTTTGATACTGTGTCTTAATCCATTGAATGCCGCCCACACTTCAGCTTTCTCTTTATAGCAATTAATTAGTTGTAAAATCTTTAAAGATCAAATACTTGTGTGGAAATTATACTTCACAGATTAAAGCTCAGATGCTAAGTCTTTTAGAACCTGATTATTTTACAGAATTAAAATAAAACAGAATAATATATTCCAAATGTGCATTTATATTGAACTGTTTTGTAATCGCTTTTGATTTTATTTTTATTTATATAGGTTTAATAGCACATAAGTAAATTGGCATTTTTTTAAGAAAATTATTCCTTGTTTTGATATATATCTCAACAATTTAAGTGAAGATGTATGAAATGTATTAAGAGAAATGTTTATGTTCTGTGCATAAACACTTTCAGTGGAAGAACGACTTTTCTATGGTATACTGAGAAAGAGGATATGAACATAGTTCATTAGGATGTTTGGAGTATAATAATCCTGTTGCTTACCTTTTGAGATCAAGAAACGCTGCACATTTAATACTATTTTACTTTTTACTATTAAGAAAGAGGTACATATATACTGTATATACTGTACGTTTCTGTTATGTATATACAGTTCTGGATTCTAAAACAGTTGAGATCAGAATACTTTTGTTCCTTAGTGTTTTCAAAATACTAATCTAAATTATATGTAGAGGTATGCATACTCTTTCTCTCTGCCCAAACAATATTTAAAAGTCACTTTTTCCATGTTGCGTAATTTTTTAAGTTTTATTCCTATCTTTATTGGCCAAATTATATATATTTTAATAATGTTATTAAAGTTTATAAATATAAAGATAAAAGATTTTTAAAAACTAAGAAAAATATTAAAAGAAAAATGAAAAGTAGAAAGTAAAACATAAAAAATTATATGTATGTATGCATGCATGTATGTATGTATGTATAAAGGTGACCCCCATTTCTCTTCAGACTAGAATAAACACATTCAGTAAGTTAATACCTTCTCTAATATTTTAATAAGGAAAAAAAAATCTTTTCCCATGTCTCATCTCTTATCCATAATTAAATTATAAAAAATCATCATTCCATCTTAATTAGCTTAAAAGTCTGATTAAGATCTGCAAGAAAGAGTCATGTACTATATTTCAACCTTAATCTAATAAATCCATTTTGTATTTCAACTTATCACTTTGTCTAAGAAGTAAAGCAAAAGAAATCTTTCCCCATTTATAAACAGATTTGTAAAGCCTTGTCATTTAGTCCTGGTCAAAAAGAAATTCCATTAATTGCTAACAGAAACCACTACACACATACAGATAGTTCTTGACTTACAGCAGTTCATTTAGTGACCGTTCAAAGTTAAAATGGCACTGAAAAAGGTGACTTACGACCATTGCAGCATCCCCATGGGTACATGACTAAAATCCTGACGCTTGGCAACTGGCTCATATTTATGATCCTTGCAGTGTCCCAGAATCATATGATCATCTTTTGCAACCTTCTGCAAGCAAAATCAATGCGGAAGCCAGATTAATTTAACAACCGTGTTATTAATTTAGCAACTTTGGTGATTCATTTAATAACTGTGGCAAGAAAATTGTAAAATGGGGCAAAACTCACTTAACAAACTTGTCACTTAGCAACCAAAATGTTTGGTTCAGTTGTAGCCGTAAGTCGAAGATTATCTGTAGTCTAACACTGAGCAAATAAATTTACTTTAGATTTCTTCCATTTATTTTTAAAAATCTTAATGTCCCACAAGTTGATTTCTTATCTTTTTCTCTTTGTCGCCTCTCAGAAACAACCTTGGTAGTTTAACACTTCCCCTTTGTATCTGCATTAGAAGACTTTCCAAAGCATTCTTCTCATTTATTATTTGCACGTCTTTTTTAATTATTAAGCCATCAGCCGATTTCAAATGTAAATAAATCCCTTGTGGCATCCTTTCCCATATCGTTCTTGTATTCTGGCCTCTAAAATCCATTTTCAAATCCACATTCAAATCAGTATCTGTTTTATCCAGTAAAATCTATTCTTCTCCTATAATCTCTTTTGCTGCTTATGACAGAATGATTTTTTAAAAATAATTTGATTATTGATAAGGGAGGAGATATGGGAAGAAGAGGGGTTTTTTTTTAAAAAAATGAAATATTAGAAATGGGGTTAAGTTACTGGACCTGTTTATTCCTACCTGGAGGGAAGGAGGAATCACTTTTATCCATCTTTTTTCTCATTTTTTTATTTTCCTTTTTCTACCTCTTTGTACTTCTGTTCTTTACTTTCTATGCTTTTCCTGTACTAATACTGGTTTGTATTAGTATTTTATCCTTGTATTTATAAACTATACTAAAACTATTATAGAAACAACAAGCAAATGAAAAAGGATAAATATATGCTAGCAGCATGCAAAAGTTACAAGGGGTGCCTGTCACAAGCTATAATTAAGCTATGCATAGCACAAGTCAGCCACCCCTTGTAATATTTTCCATATTCCTGTGTTTTTGGATTGTTGTTTTAATATCAATTTCAATTATTATATCACACATACCTTCCCTAATGTTTAGACTAATTGGACAGAATCATGCTTGGTGAACGGGTTCCTGATATATCGTGCTACATCTTATATATTCTCATAAAACAAGAATAAAATATGCCATACATATCACCAAACCCTGGATGAGTTTGGAGAGATTCTCTTGGAGTTATAATTATAGCATGTCAATCCTGCTAGGTAGAACAGATCAGGAAATCAACTCAGGGAAGTTAGCTTTATTGAGATTGGCTACAATAACAGATTCTTGCAAGTCTGATTGTTCTGTAGTTCCTTCCCTTTCTTATATTCCACTGAATCAGAGAAGCATCTTCCTGAGCTTCTTCTGAATTTTATCTAACTGCTCTGGATTTAAAAAAAAAACTTTGGCTCCTTTTGCCTAAATAATTTTTGCTACATAAGGCATGTACAAAAACATATGATTGGATAACATGTGAACATCTCAAAATTTAGTGGTGACTATTTGCCTCTTTCTAATCTAAAGCGAACCACAGAAAGGAGAATTAATGATTACAAAGCTTTTTGAAGTACAGAAGTGGACAGCGTACAGTATTTTAGAAAGAGAAGCCTTCCATGACTGGCTTAGAATTTATATGTTTGTTTGTTTGTTTGTTTGTTTATACTTCATACTTCTTAACTGTACATCTCCCTCAGAGAGGGAAATTTAGAAGGATAAATTTAGAAGGGTAGGCTATGCATAAATAGTGTCTGGGAAATCAATAATACTATCAAAAGTTTAAATTTACTTGAGATGTTAGTCATGTAATAAACAGAGGCAAAATTAAATCTTGAGGCTATGAATCATGACTCTGAGCCAACATCATGTTGTCTATTTGTTATGACATATACTAGTGATATAGAATTGACTAGCTAACGGAATCTGTACAAGAGAATTTCCTGAACCATGAGGTTGTAAGTAATATAACTTTCTTAGTATGCATGTTTCAGTTTTTTTAAAATCTTATTTTATCTTCTATTTTAAGACAGAAATATCTGTATTCAGCACAAATAAAAAGAATGTGTCCTTGTAACATAATTAATGCAGTTTCTGTTACTTGAAAAGAGAATGTATAAATCTAGTTATATAAATTTGCTTACCACTTTTCCATGGCACTATCTTATGCCCAATATACCTTATTAGGTAATTACATACATGTGTGCCCATTTACACTATTCACTTTTGGAGTAACCAACATTAAGCAAAATGACCTAAAAGGAGTAAAGCAAAACAAATGAATGGAAGATGATAAAAAGAGGAAAAAGTAACACGATTCACACTAATCCCGTTTACCTCTTCATATTTTCTTATCTCTGTATACTATCTCTTGCTTCCTCACTTTTCATGTACTCCTCTATACATTGATTTTTTTCTATTTAAACTCCTCAATTTTCTCTTTTGCATCAATGCATCAACTGCTTCCAATCACATTTTTTATTCTCCTTCCTTTTGACCCTTCAAATACTTGTTTGGCAATTAGGTCCTTGTCTTCATTCTAATACTACATAATTAATGTAGTACATAAATGTAATAATAATAAATGTAATACATTCTGAAATATGTAATAATAAATGTAATACATTCTGAAATATGAAAGCCAAAATTACCTTTGTTTTAATTTTTTTGATTGTCTTAGTTTGCTTTTTTACTGAATAATATTTTCTTTATTTTTTTTAAGTGCTGGAAAGAAAGATATCAACAAGGCAGAGCAGAGAGGAGCTAATAAGAAGGGGTGTCCTAAAGGAAATAAATGAGCAAGGTGATCACAATTAATGTAGATTATTAGAACTTATATTTAATCTGAATGATGACAAATGTTATTCCCATTGCTTTCAAATGTATAGTTCATTGGCAGAGTTTGTAGTTGAGATTGACAATGAGATTGTAGCATATCTCTAGGTTTAGGTTGAAAAATAATACTGAAAAACAGTGAGTTTAACTCCAGGAGCTTCGGCCACCTCTTTTTTTTTCTACCTAGAAGTGCTCAGATTGTTTTGCAAAGCAAGTGAAGTAGATACTCAAAGGTCTCTGAAAAACAAATGAAGGGAGAAAGAGAGAAAGCTGCTGCATGATAAGCTTAGGGACGCTGGGGAGCAACAGAAAACAACCTAACATGGGAAGACAGTGGGAGTTCATATGGGACGGAGGAAAGAAAGATGAGTGAGTGGTTTGGGTGAGTGAATTTTGGGTGGTAGAAAATGGAGTGAGAGAATTGGTAGGGTGATTTGTAAAAGGGGGAACTGTTTAGGGGTCATAAAGGAATAGATTGGGTTTCTGCCCCTGAACTCACTCTTCTACCTTATATTCAGGCTTATATTCAGGCTCTCGATCAGATTTTTAATTTTTCTACTATATCTCTATGATTTAGTCTTTCTATGAAATTTCCTTGACCAAACTGATCATTTGTGAATGGTCATTCATTACCCAGAGCTATTTTGGAGTAAAAATATCAGGGAGGGACAGAGGGAGGAGGAAGGATACTTTGTGAAAGCTTTCTTAAAATTCTCCCCAGTGTAGAGATGAGTTGTCTATTCTAGTACTACAACACACCCTAAGTATGCAAAAAGAAGTTACTTAGAAATGCATAGCAAAACTGGCTCTAATCAGATATCAGGATCATTATGAAAATAAAGAGGACTTAATTGCATATAATGAATGTAATGCCTTCAGAACTAGCCAATATTCTTGTTTTCATTTCAGATGTAGATGCCACAGTGAATTATGAAATCTCTAATGGTCACACGATAGTAATTACAGAAGAAGCCATACCAGAAGAAAATGTAAAAACTATAGAAGACAACAGTTCATTATCAGCAAAGGCAGCTGTTTCTGAGGAGAAAAATGAAGATAAAAAAGGTATTTTAAATGCAATGTATCAGAATGTATATGTCCATTTAAAAATACAATCACCCCAGTGTATATGATGAAAAAATGAAAACAAACCTGTTTATAACTACAAGGGGTAATGTAATTGAGTGGAGAAGAGATAGCAATAAGGAAAGTTAATTTCTGTTCAGAGGCAGACATTTTTAGGAACACATAAACTAAAAACTTGAGTTCGCTATTAGAATGGGAGGAAAAGTGCTAGGTCTTAGATTCTAAGACTTAGAACAAGAGCAGATTTTGATTGTCCTACATACTACATAGAACATGGGCTCTTGCACAACAAGAACCTATGGGATGTAGTTCAAACCAGGTTTGGTCTTACTCAGCTGTGAAATTTAGGGGTTAACAGTTGCTATCTGTCAAGTTAGCATACAGCCGTGATGGCGAACCTCTCTGTGGGCACACGCGCCGTTGGCCCACTGCTAGGCCTTCAGCTGGGTTTTATAAAACCTTTTCGCTTTAGGCCTCCGCTGCCATGTGCCAAAAAAAAATCAATCAATTTCAACTTCTTGTGGGAAAAAAAAAAGATCTCGCAAAGTTGGAATAGATTGATTGAACTTTTTAGTCCCACCCAGTCTGCCGTTACCACTGCAGCCACGCCCACCCAATGGGCCACACCCACCCAGCACCTGACGATACATAAGTGGGTTTTGGGTTGCAGTTTGGGCACTCGGTGTCTAAAAAGTTTGCCATCACTGGCATACAATATCACACAAGATTGTTTTGGATAAAATAGGGGGATAAAAATAAGAAAACTGGATAGCAATAATAACTTTTAAAAAATCTAATAACCATCGCCGCTATTTTCTGAAATCTGTAGATGGGGAGTGGGGTGAGGGTGGAAATAAAGAGATTTGATTTATTTTTAAAAAATCTGCCCTTTTTCCATTCTTACTTTAGTTGATTAATGCTTATTCTTACTAATGTGTCATTTACAAGTTATCGTTACTGCTACTCATGTCAATAAGATCAATATGAAGACGGAGCTGAAATGAAAGAAGTCTAATCTCAGAATCTTTTTTTTTTTACTATTATTTTTTTTGTTTTCTTTTCTTTTTTTTTTTTAATCTCAGAATCTTAATCAGCAATTGCTGTAAATTTGAGGAATTAACATGGGATAAAATAATCCTTAACAGTGCTGCTAGTCTTATCCTGGCTTTTCTTAGGCTATGTGAAAATAGCGTTGTACATAGAAGCACACATATTTCCTACGGGACTTGATGCTAGCTACTGTATAGTTTGTGATCTGTTACAAGATGAATTGTACCCATGAAAATGAAAGAGAAGGCTTTTACTGTTACATTAGCCAATATTAATGCAGATTATTGTGTTTTTTGCTCATTTTAATTTTTTAAATCATACACTAGCGGTCCCCAACCTTTTGGGCAATACGAATGGTTTTGTGTACTGTACTACCTAGATCCTGTGTATGCGCAGATGAAGTTTCGCTAGCTTGTGCAGCCCAATTCATAATCAGCAGTCCGCGGCCTACTCTTCTAATGTTTTCTCTCTGATGAAGTTAGACATAAAAACATGGCTACAATTCTGTTCATGGACATATATCCTATACTGATATCAGGAAAGCTTCCTTATACATAAAAAATGCAAGATTATGCATTGAAAAAGAGAACAAATGCAGTTACTATGTTTCTTCATTTTCTTTCAGCTCAATGCAATCTTCCAAATTCCTGCTGCAATTTACTTCATTTTTCATAATGATATGTTATAATTTGTATCATTTACTTGATGATGTCAGACAGATGACATGAATTCCCTCAGTGCCATTGCTCTGTGATTCATTGAACACCCCACCCCCAATTAGTGGTTCTAATTATGTTAAGAGCATGGGTGATTAGAGCTTAATAGGCTGGTACAAGGAAAAAGATTTCAAGGAAAAGCTTTTACATCTAAACAGCTCTAGAAATAATCCTTCTGAAGCTTGTACAATAAATGCTTAGGAATGCTTTCTATGTTTGAGTAGTAGTCTTAATAATGTTGAGATGGAAGCCAATCAACAAAAGGAAAAGGAAGCTATTGTCTTGAACAAGAATAAGAAATGCTGACAAATTTTCATTTTTTGGCTATTTTAGTTAAATGATTATTGATGGTACACTCAATTAAGAAATTTGTCCTTGATATTTATTTATAAATCTGATTAGCTTTTCCTAACATATTTTTAGAAATTATATATAAATTATTCATAGCAGAATCAAACAAAATTGTAAATATAAACAAAAGCTATCATAGAGATAGTTGTCTTAATCTTTCCTTGGCTAGGAATTAGTTACAAAAAGGTTAAATTATAAATGATCTTTCCTTTGCAATAAATGGAACTTTTTTTGCTGAAAGCCATGGTGGCAAAATGGATGTTTCCTACTATGTGTATTTAATCACACTGTATATGCTTGTCTTCATCTACTAATTGTTTTTAATGAGAATGCTGCTTGTCTTTCACAAGTTGGTTACCCAAATGTTGGAAAATTTGAGTTAGGATAGCTGAGGACAGGGGTCTCCAACCCCTGGTCTGTGGACCGTTACTGGGCCACGGCATACCACAACCGGTCCACACAAACAAGCAAAGCCCCATCCGTGGGATGCAGGCAGCATACAAAACCACGCACCCTCCGGTCCTTGGAAAAACCTCTCTCCATGGAACCGGTCCCTGGTGCCCAAAAGGTTGGGAACCTCTGGCTTAAGAGACATCTTTTAAAATAGTGGTTACTGCCCCAAACTGTTAGCAGATTTGATCTCCCTTCAACGAAGGAAGAATTATTTTTGTAAAAAAAAAACAAAACACCTTTTTTATTCTGTGTTTTGAGAACCATTCTGAACTCCTCTCTGTTGAAATCTGCACTCGAGAGTGAAGTGTAGTTTGATGGCTGTTCTTTTAAAAACAAAAGCAGTCCTCATTCCCAAGAAAGTAGAGCAGCAGGAAGAAATCTGTTTCTTTGTCTGGTTTATCCGTGCTGTCCATTTGTCAGTTGCTTGTGTTCGCTTTCTTATTTGTAGATAAACCTCTTCCTAAAGGTCTTGAAACATCAGCAGTGTCTGTTTCTCCTCTTCCTCCTCCTCCTCTACCACCACCTCCTTTTAAACCTAAGCCTAAAGCTAAAAAATCAGCCATTCCTCCAAAAAACGCTACTGCTGCTACAGCTAGCCATAAAACTAACGAAGTGCCACATGCTAAAAAAAAGGGCAAGTCTCCTTCCAAGCAGACCTCTGCCTCCCCTGGCAAGCCAACAAGCCGCAGTGGGACTCGAGAAGCTGGTAAGTATCACGTGGCTTTGAATTCATGCTGCTTTATTGCTTCCTTTAAATGGTGCAGTGTCCATATTCTCTCTGTGGATGGTTATTAATACATTGGATTTATGTTATCCGAATTGGATGTATGTTTATTAATTGTCCTTGTCTATGGTTTTCAGCTCACCTTGGCTCACAAAATCCAGTACTGAACATTAAAGTCTAATAAGAAGCAACATTTACCAGATAATTTGTGCAAAACTGAACAAAAGCTACAGCTGCATAAAAAGCAAGCATATAACATTTGTTGGCTGTGAATGATTATTATTAAAGCTGTTGTCTTATCCACTGTCTCCATAATTTGTGGGTGGATAACTTATGGCCTCCTGTACAGCAGCCAGATGCAAGAGCTTATTTGGTAGTTCCTGTGTTAAGTTCTTTTAACCTAAAAATGCTTGTAAGAATACTATTTATTTCCATCCCTCTCAATCAGCAAGACCTAGCTCAGTGATGGCGAACCTTTTAGAGACGGAGTGCCCCAAAACTGGCCCTGCCCCTGCTCCACCCCCCATTCTGCCCCCCATCCCCTGCCCCGCCTGCCCTCAGGGCCACTACCACCTCCAGGGCCTGCCACAGATCGCCCAGGCAGCCCAGCAGCGCTATGGCAGTCACACCCTCTGCCCGCACCCTGCGGCATCAACTGTGCACGATGGGGTCTGAGGGCAGAGTCTTGTCTATGCTACTTGGCTGCCATGTCCTTGGCTGCGCTGCTCTGCGTAGGCCATGCTCAGGGGCAACTCTCCTTCAGGGGGGCTGCTGGAGAGGAGGAGGTCGCGGGGGGAGGCAAGGCTGGGGCAACGGCACATGTGCCCACAGAGAGGGCTCCGAGTGCCGCCTCTGGCACCTATGCCATAGGTTCGCCACCACTGACCTAGCTAAAGAGACAGTAGCAAAGTAGAAAAACAATTCTGAGATGTTGTTCTATATAGAAGAGGAGTCCCTCTGGACTTTACTCTGCTAATTGTTGCCAACTACAGAGGGATGTGCTCATCTCTGCTTCAAGGGCCTTTGAGCTAGCATTGTCCAAAGTCGTTTCCATAGTCATATGGCCAGCATGACGTCACGGAGCACTGTTACCTTCCCACTGAAGTAGTACCCATTTATTTACTCACATATGCATGTTTTTGAGCTGCTAGATTGGCAGGAGTTAGGGCGAGGAAGGGAGCTCACCCCGACATGCAATGCTCAGATCTCAAACCTGGGCTGTCATCAGGTACAGAAACAGGATAAAAAAGTAGTAAGCAGATGTAATTAAAGGCATGAAATAAGAAAAAAAGAAAGGCTAAATTTAGCTTATACCAGGGGTAGGCAACCCAAAACACTCAAAGAGCCACTTGAACCCGTTTCCCACCAAAAACAAAACACCGGGAGCCGCAAAACCCTTTTGATATCTAAAATGAAGATAACACTGCATATATCCTTTTTTATCTTTATTATAGGTGTGTGTGTGTGTGTGAGAGAGAGAGAGAGTGTGTTTGTGTATGTGTGTGTATACACACACACACACACACACACACACACATTAAAAATAAAAGTAAAAATATGACTCGGGAATATCCATACTATTAAAACAATGATCACCGAGAGAATGCTTTAAGAGAATAAAATTACATACACACACAGGTAAAAAAAGGATATATGCAGTGTTATCTTCATTTTAGATGTCAAAAGGGTCTCTCTCTCTCTCTGTCTCCCTCCCTCCCTCTCTGCCCTTGGTCTGCCACTCCTCTTCCCCCACTCTCTTTCTTTCTCTCTCTTTCCTCTCTCTCTCCCCCTCCCTCTCTCTCTCTTTCTCTCTCTCTCTTTCTCCCCCCCCCATCTGCTGCTCACCTGGCAAGCTTCAAGTTGTTCTCCAACAATCTCAGGGGTAGGCAACCTCGTCTCTTTTATGACTCATGGACTTCAACTCCCAGAATTCCTGAGTCAGCCTAGCTGGGCTAGCTAGCTCTCTCCTGCCCTTCCTGTTTCCTGCAGAGACGCAGCAAAGGGAGGAGCTCCGCCCAGAAAGCTTTTCAGCTCCTCGGAGAACAATGTGAGTGCACTCTCTTTTACGCATACACACACACACACAGAGAGAGAGAGAGAGAGAGAGAGAGAGAGAGAGAGAGAGAGAGAGAGAGAGAAAAGCAGGGAAGCGCAATTGACTCTCTCTGTCTCTCTCTCTGCAAAGGCAGAGGAGGCTGGGAGCCACAGGGGAAGGCTCAAAGAGCCGCATGCGGCTCCGGAGCCGCAGGTTGCCGACCTGTGGCTTATACCAATACAATTTATTATTCCAGTCTATTTTGCAAACCATCCTTGCTTCTACCATACCTGTACACTGTTTTAATAATTTTCATTTTGCTCTTCTTGAGCTCTACACATCTATGACTTTCTCTGTCTTATCCTTCCACTCAAGTTATCAACTCATCCTTCACATATTTAGTTTGCAGTTTGCTCCTCATTTACTGTCTATATGGACAAACTATAATTATTTCTATCAAATATGATTTAGATTTCAATGAATTTTATAAATAAACTTGAAAATATGTTGAGTTGAAAGATAATAAAAAATGATATGGTTCTCTTTCTTTGTTTCTGTACTTTTTAATTCTACACAAATATTAGTCTTACTTTCAAAAATGTCTTAGGAATAATCAGTTTGAGAAAACTCTTATTTTGGTGTTAAGAAGCCCTCTATTTCAAAGAAGCTCATAATTAGTACATTTACAAAATGGAAAACATATTTTGTTTTTAAGCTTACCCTAGAAAAAGTTTCCACAGAGCATTTTAAGTTAGTTATGTCCCAACAGAACTAAAAGTTTTCAATTGTAGTCACTAGAAGAAACGATGAGCATGTGAGACCGGTTGCTGCTCCTTTGTTTTTCATCCTAGATCCACAAATGGGATGTACCCATTTGGTTTTGAAAACATTAAAATCAGTCCCTTTATGAGACACCAGGTACACAGCTCTGCTTTGACATCTGAAAAATAAGTTTAAATTAGAATCTGTAATCAAAAAATTATCTCTAGTCTTTCAACCAAGAAAACAGATAGAGATCTTTCTACTGTATTAGGTTAAAGGGCAGAAACATACATACCTCTTTCACATTCCTTTGAATAAGAACATATTGCCTGATGGATTACTTTATTTTTCAGATTTTTTTTTTTTAAAAAAAAAACTCTGTGCCAATTCTTCTGTAGTCATTGACATTCCACTTATTTAGCAAGAACAAAAAACAGATTTGGCATGCTTTATTTTTCCAGCCTGCCTGCCAAATGCAAGCTCAGCAGAAGCAACCATGTTGTTCTTTGCTGATGTTTTTGCTTGTGCATAGAATTGTTGCAGGTCATTTAAAAAAAATGCTTGGACCTTTTCCTGTATTCAAGCAACAACCCAAATCAATAGATTCTTTACATTTTAAAATGTATCTTGAATTTTAATGTCAATAGGTCATAATTATGCACATGAACACCTCAACTTCACAACCCCTCTCCCAAAATGTTTGTTGGGAGAACATGCCCTTGCTATATTAATTGCAATTAATTTCTTCATGCTTATAGTTTAAAACTTATTGTAATGCTAATTAATTAAGAATCCTGATTGGTCCTGATAGTCCAGCAATGTCTAAAGCTCATCATCTATGCTTTAGTCCAGAAGATAATGGCCAGAAAAAAAATCATATTCCAGAGTAAGTAGATGGGAAGAGCACTGCTACTATATTACTATTACATATGCTAATATGTAATTATTTAGATATTTCTACGTAAGTGTTGTAAGTACTTCAGGCTTCCCATTACAGTGGTACCTTGTTACTCAACCATTTTGAAACTCATTGACGTGCATTTTGACATGAAAATTTTGTCCCAGTACTCATTGTTTGTTTGGTACTCAGTGCATAAGCTAGAACTACAGTCATTGTTGGCTGCCTTGTGAGTCACTGCTTAAGGGAAAAGTTTGTGTGGCACTCATCGTTTTTGGTACTCATAGCACCTCCCAGAACCAATTAACAATGAGTACCAAGGTACCACTGTATTAAAGATGAAAGCCTTCCCAGTAATACAAGGTAGGTTAATGCAAACCTTCTGTTATGGTAAAAGGGTATGCCCTCTCATTTCAGCTAATTCCTCTAATTTAAAGAAAGGACATGCTTCCAAATCATCATCTCCTTCTTCCACATCATCTCGCCCTAAACCTTCTAAAGAACCAACAACAAGCAAAACCAGCACAGGGACTCCCAGGGATAAGAAGAAGCATGGGAAACAGGTGACGACACGTGCATCATCTGATGGGGACATTACTTCTGCCTCCAGCACGGCAGTAGAAAACTCAAAGACCAAAGTGGAACTCTGTAAATCAGAAGAGCCTCTCCATATTATCCCTGAATCTGGAGACACAACCCAGAACAGCACCCTGACTGTTCCTCCCCCTCCTCCTGCTGTTCCGGCTCCTCTTCCTCCATCCATCCCAATTCTGTCTCCAGGCTGTGAGCCCACTGGCTTCTCGGGCACAGAACATGTGCCAGTTAGTATTGAAGTAGGTCCATCTGTTCCTGGCACACATTTAAATGATCTTCATATAAAAACTGAAGCAGACAGTGAAAGCTCTTCAAACAGTGCTGTCTTAGACTGTAGCCTGGAGATTGGGGGAGAAGACACAGAATGGTAAGACTACATGCTTTCAGCTAGTTGTGTAATTTTGGGATACACATGCATTTGGGAAAATGGTGGAGCAACTCAGGTAGGCTTTTGTATACCTTGATTTTGAATTTGAACATGTATCAAAACACAGGAAGACATGAGTAAATATAATTCAATTAATACTTTGAATTCTATTCTCATACTTCCAAGCAGACAAGGAAAAGAAAATTAAAATGGCTTGGATGGACTGATTTGATTCTATTTAAATCTACAAATTTGTTTTCAAAGTCACAGCTTAAGGTTCAAAGTTACAGCTCCTTTGGAGATGCTTACTTGAAAATCTTTAGAGTAGCTCTCAAAATCTGTGGTGAAATAGCACTCTCAGCAACTATTAAAAAGGCAGGTACTAAGTTGAATCTAGCTTAGCGTTCCATTTATGAAAATAGGGCAGCAGGTTGAAAAGAAAGCTAATGGAAATAAATAACAAGCCCATTTGTGAGGCATCAAAGGAAGAATTAAGATGAGTTCCGCCCTTCCCTGGTCATTTACAGAACCAGTTTAGAAAGTACCGTTTCTTGTCCCAGTGGCAGGATTATGCCTATTAAAAGCAGCTTTTCTTCATTTGTTTGTATGTTGCCTCCTGCTTCTCTCCTTTACCTCTGTGAATATACTTGGTTGCGTGCATGCAAAATAAATTAATTCAATTTAGAAAAATCCAAATGTAGTCTGTATTTAGAAAACACAAATTGTAACACTCAGAATTCGTTATATCTTAATCATTGTCCATTAAAGACTAGCATCAAGGATGTTTCATATGAGGAGAAATATTTACCCAAGAGAGAATGGATAAAGATTATGAAGAAGTCGTGAGTTGGATGTAAAAGATAGAAAAGGGATTGTGTTGGCTGATAATACAGATCAGTAAAAGATTGTGCTTTTTTTTTTTAAGATATAGTATGTCTATATCTTGCTGAATGTTTCACATGAGCCCTTTAGTAGTCTATAAGAATTGATGAAAGGTAATAAAATTATATAGTCATTGAACATTTCAACACTGAACATCCTGGCCGGGTCAGAGTTGACTCAGCTTTCCATCCTTCTGAGGTTGGTAAAATGAGGACTCAGATTGTAGGGGGTAATATGCTGACTCTGTAAACTGCTTAGAGCAGGCATGTCAAACTGCTGGCCCGCGGGCTGGATGCGTCACATCGAAACCGCACCCACCCCATTGCCGGCAATGTGGAAAAAGTCCCAATACATCACGTGACATGCCTGGCTTAGAGATTGAAGCAGTATATAAGTCTAAGCACTATTTTTATTGCTAAGGGGCCACAGTGAAAAAAAAGTATGAAAATTGCAATGGCACTATAAAGTGACAGTATTTGGAATTAGTTTTTCTGTAGCCCATCTGCTCTTGGCAGTACTTCTGATTATAAATTACTTTAAAATTTCAGGAATGTTTTTCATCAGCCTTTCCTAATCAAATATTCTCCAGATGGATTATACTACAACTCCCAAGATTCTTAGCAAGTATGGTCAAAGGCCATACTGACTAGCATCAAGAATGTAATAACCCACCTGAAAGCTACTAGATGGAGGAAGGTTGCTTTATATGAGCTTAAAGCTGGTCAGACATATGCTTAGTTTTATATATGACTGATTTATGAACTTATTTTTATTTTCTTAATTCATCTATATGGTGTGAGAGTTAGACATTTGTCTTCTGTTCATAAGTGAAATATTGATTCTTAAAAATTTAAGCTTTCAGTTTGAAGCAGTGGATTTAAAGTAGATTCTTAAAACTAGTAACAATCATATTGACATGCCAGAGTTTGGGAAAAATTGAAATGTGTTCTGTGGTTTGTTGAGTCTGTGGGGAACTTAATTTTAGGTCTTTAGAACTGATTGTTTTACAAGAGTTACATAGCTTGCTTTATGTTTTAATAAATTATAAAACATAAATTATTACCTAATGTATTTTTCCTGGGTGGTTATATTTCATATATGATTGGTGTATTTGTTTTTCTAATAGTTCTGCTATCAAAGAAGATCAGGAAAAAGAAATCTCTAAGCAAACTAGTCTTCTTCAGACAGATGAACTTTCTGAAACTTCTGAAGAAAATCCCGAAATTGGAAACAGCAAAAATAATCATACCAGTGACTCAGATTCAGATGGGCCTATACTTTATACAGATGATGAAGATGATGATGAAGCTGCAAGCAGTGAAAGTAAGAGAACTCGATGAGCAACCGTCTGCCATTTTAAACAAAAAATTAGTACATGCTGTACAATTTGTTTTACTTCTGAAACAAAACACCTAGATAAGTTTCTAAAATGGAGATTGCTGATCCGACTTGTTGCATTCATTAGTACTGGGAAAGCGTTTTCTCATTCCATTGGCAACAGATACTATATCCTTGTTCTATGGTTGGAATGTCCCTATTGGAGAATTCGATCCAAGTTCTTGCTATTGTCCTTAATAAGCAAACTGGGAAATATGTGAACTCAGAGTTCATATATTGGATGTATTTCTTGGGGCACAATGCATCTTTGCAAGCCTTTTTATTTGACATGTGTTTTGTATATATTCTGCTTCCCTCCTTTGGAATCTCCATCCATGAAGATGGAATCACTTAGCGCCAGAAACTGAAAATTGGTTTCACTCACACTGTGATCATCCCACAAATGCCGCACTTTCGTATTTTAGATGTGCACATAAAAGGTTTTAACTTAATGAGTGGCATCTCCACGTAGGGCTAGTAAAGCCATCACCTTTGACTGCTGTGATTAATGTAGCTAGGAATGTAAGAATCTCTTACAGTAGTTTATTTATATGAGAGCAAAGATAAAAAAATCTATACTTTAATTTTAAACTTTAATATTTATATATTAAAGGAAATAGGAATTTTTTGTTGGGCTGAGAGATAAACCTGCCCCCTTCTCCTTATAATCTAGCTAGTGAAGTTCACGTCTGCTTCTAATTGCAGAAACTCAGCCTAAAAACTGAAATACTATGAATTCTTGTCCTGCCTTAGGCACAAAACCAGCTGGGTGACCTTGGTCCAGTCACTCTCTCTCAGCCCTAGGAAGCAGCTAATAGCAAACCACCTCCGAAATGTTGTCAAGAAAACTGCAGGGATTTATCTAGGCAGTCTCCAGTAGCCAACATTGACTCAAAGGTACCCTCTCCATTCTGTTATCCTCCAGAATATTCCTATCAAATTATTTCATAAGCATTTGGAAGGGGGGGATTGAATGTTCTAATTCTACCGTAGTTGGCAGATGAGTTCTAATACATTAACATATTATAAAGGAAAGGTGACTTTGATATGAGCTAAAATTCCCCCCCCCCCCAAAAAAAAAGAGGAGAAAAAGCTAGAAAGAGGTTTTTAAATTCATGTATTGAATATCCAAATTGTGGCTGGATCTTGACATGCTTAAGTGTGAGCATTAATTAATAAAAAAAAAATCATTCTCTATCCAGGCTCTTTAGCAAGTAAAATACATCGTAGAGATACTCTTGCAATCAAACTCGGCAACAGGCCATCCAAAAAAGAACTGGAAGATAAAAACATCTTACCGAGAACATCTGAAGAAGAGAGACAGGAAATCAGACATCAGATCGGCACAAAACTAGTGAGGTATTGGCCGGGAGAAAAAGGGAGAATAATAAAGAGGCTTCAGACATAGGAAAGACTGTTTCTCAGCTTTTTGAATTGGTGATATCAAATAAATAAATGAGCACTATAATAATTAATTTATAATTCTGCAGTTCAGTCTCAGGTCTTCACGCTTGTTCTATTTAAGCTAGATCAAAAACCTTAAGCCCCCCCTCCCCATTACAAAAAAATGATTGCAGGCAAGTTTTGCTCAATTAGACAATTCACAGGTTCTTTTGCTACAACAGTTATGCTACTTGCCATGAATCCAAGATAATTTTGTTTTGAAAGAACAGATTTTTTAAGCTGATGTGTGATACACTTTTTTTTCCTGTAACATCATCTGAACAGGGGTTTTGATTATTTCTTTTATTTCAAGTAGATACTTCCAAAAATGCAAATCACATTTTATAGACAGTACTATGATGTATATGCATAATCAAGCACAGTTACAAAATTCATTGTACGCTTAATTTATGTGGTTCTATATACACATGTATTCAGTAACACTAGTAATATGCATCTATTTGCAAATCCAAATTACACATGTTCAGCATTAAAAGTAATATATAAAGTCATGGTATTTGGTAATTGGTATTTGAGAAATCATTTTGGCAGTGATTCTTTCTAAACTAGATAAACTAGATAACTTCATAAGAAACTGTTGTAACTAGGAGAAAATATATGTATGTCTTCCTTTTTGCAGAAGGCTTAGTCAAAGGCCCACCTCTGAAGAACTAGAACAAAGAAACATCCTAAAACGTAAGCCTTTAAAATAATGCATCTAATTCTGCAATGCCAATAATGTTACATTTTGAGAGTGGTCACGCATCCTGGTTTTATGAATGTGAATAATTCTGCAAGGTTTTTCTCTTTTTTTGCTAAATATGAACTGAATATTTAAAAAAAAAATATTGAAGAGTATGAATGTACAGTTTGCAATTGCACTTCTGCCAAAGTTTGCCCTGCCATTTGATGCCAAGGCAGGACTGCAGTGGCCCTCAGACAGTAAGCAGGGAGACAATAACATTTTGGAAATACAGATCCTAACATGAAAGTTAGATCTAAAAATCTTAGTACCTACTGCTAAATTATAAATCAATTTATTCTACCATGCCCAGTGGTTTGAATTGAGCATTCTGATTGTATGTACGTATTGTACATAGTAAATACATTAAATATGTTTACCCTTTTACAGTGTATAGACATTGTTTATTTAGCAAATTGCAGGTATCGAGTCTTAAGGCAGTAAGTTTGCTATCTTGCCAAAATTGGCTTTCTAGAAACATAATGTAGCTCGTTGTGCCAGTTGAGAATAAAGATTATCATTGTTTGAACAACTATCAGATAGAGTAGTTTTCTGTGACATTCCAGTAGAGTAGAGCTTTGTTTGTTTTTGGGTTTTTTGTTTCCTTAGCAAACATGCATTGTAACCCAGCTATATAAATCCCCACAGGATATGGTGGAATGTTCAGGTTTAATTTCCTGGATTATATTAGAGCACAAAACTGAATGTCAAAAGCAGATGTAGACTGGTGGAGATCCTCCCATATAGATCGGAGAGACACTTGGCATAAAATGCCAGCATTAGCTCTTTATCTCAGCGTCACTGTGGAGAAACAGAAGGATTATCTGAAGCAGTATGAAAATGACATAGACCAGGGGTCTTCAAACTTTGCAACTTTAAGACTTGTGGACTTCAACTCCCAGATTCCTCAGCCAGCTTTTCTCATAAAAGAGTGGCTCTGAAATTGTGCAAGCATATTTTCCTAACTCAGTCTGCAATAACCACATCTTTAGTCAATCTGCTTTTAGCATTTTCATGATGTGATAAATAGTGTGGCAAATATAAACTGAATGGGCGAGTGGCAAATGTGGGTGAATAAGTTATTTTAGCAACAATGTAATCCAGTCCAAATGGCTTCATTTCTATATTATCAGCATGTCATGTTGGTATGCTAGAACTACTGATTTACTGAAACTGAGTATTTGGCACATCTACTGCATAATTTGCTACCATTTATATACCAGATGAAATGTAACATCCACCCAAAATTAGTAACAGAGTTCCAAAACAGACGAACGACAAATGCTTTAAAAGTGGATAGGAACTGCGTATAGAAATGTAGTGATGGACCACTATGGAGAAGTGTTCTGTTCAATTCTAACATGTAGTGAGAGATCCTAGCTCTTAGTTCATTAATCTTGAAATCCATAGGCACAGTTTAAGGATAACAAAAGTTGAACATGTCATAAAATTTCCACCTTCTGTCTGGTGGCACCTTTCTAGATGAATAGCAAGAGGTTTATTATCCTGAATGGCAGTCAACAAAGAAGACTGGGCATCTTCACTAAGCCTATGCATTCCCATTCTCTGAATAGTACAGGCTGCTGGAATTATATAAATACACAGAGATCTTGCAAGTAAAAAAAGAAGCTGTGATTATATTTCTACCATTATAGTAATGATGGACAGGAAAATTCTTGTACAGCCAAGTGTTATCAGAAGTAGAAGACAAGCCATAGGTGTAGTGGCATAAGCTAACCAGTCTCAGCTTGTCTGCTTCACTCTTTGCTTCTCTTTGTTCATTCCACTTGCTTTTTCAATAGGATGAAATAACTTTTTTTCTAGGTCTTGAATATATAATTCTCACCAGTAGAGTCCTTGAAAGCTCCTACCCTTCAGTTGTATAAGGCATGGATGGTCTTCTTGGTTCTTTCCAAATTGAGATAAACTTGGGTGATGCCACTCATGTTCTTACCAACTTACTCAGTATATGTATGTTTATACCATATGGCTTCAGCAAAGGCAGAAAAGGATGAGAGTGAAGGGAGAAGAAGAAATGAATTTTTCTCCATGATATTATCCTCATTAGGCAGAATAATCATTTAATTCACATAGTATAACTATTGGTCCCTTGGAATGCTCTCTATTTGAATCTTAGGAATAGGAATTAATGGAGGCTGTCTATTCTCTGTTAAGATCTTATCCTATGACTAATCATAGAAATGACAAGAGAAATACTAGTTTAATAAAGGAAAGAAAATGCAAACTTGGAATGAATTTAAAATATTAACGATGATTATTTTCCTACAGTGTAACAAATCGGTTACCTATTTATCATGCCTTATAACTATGCCTATATTTCTTCTTTCATCTTTAAATAGAAAAGAATGAAGAAGAAGAACAAGAAGCTAAAAGAGAACTGAAGCGCAGTCTCAGCCGAAAGGTAAATTAAATGTTTTGTTCAACGTACATCAACATGTATTCTTTCTTTATTCGGGTCAGAAACACCTACAAATTATAGACATGTAACATTCAACACTGAGCAAATAAAATAGGTATAAAATAGATAATAGAAATTTAGCACATGTAAAAAGTATGTAAAGTAAATAGGATTAAATCTAAATGACATTTGCCCAGTATCAGGTCATGTCGATAGCATTTTTCCTGCCAGCATGAGGTCTTCCTCCTTACTGGTACATATACGCATCCTTTGCATTGCCAACTGATACATGTTGGAGAAGGCCCGGGAAATTTTGTTCTCTCAGGAAAGGTTGAACGAGTTGGATGAGACATTTAATCTGGAGAGGGAATGATTGTGAAACTGTCATCAAATGTTGGTACAGCTGTTATGTAAATAATGAGAATGGGTTCAAGGAGGCAGTGCAGCTTCAGAGTTAAAGATCTTGCTCAGAGATCAAATTAATAACAGCACTAATTTCACAAATGGCATTAAAAATGACATTAAGATCAAAATATAAGTGGGCAGGGTACATTGGTATGTTCACCTGACAATAGATGGACATAAAAAGAGATTTGGCTGTGGAGTTACAGTTATACATGAAATTCAGGTGACCTCCTATGAAATGGAGAGATCAATTAAGAAAATCCTGAGTCCCAGCTGGAAGATCATTGCAGAAGGCGAAATGGAATATAAGTTTGTGCTGAAGCTGTAACTTTGGTATCAACATTATCCAGATGAATAAAATGAAGTTAATGTGTGGAATGCTTTGCTCAAGAAGGTGTGGTGTCTGAGTCCATTGATTGGACTTCTAAGAAATAAGACATGACTAAATTCTAGGGATTTCTTACAACACAAGACTGTCCTGAAATCAAGCAGAAGCTATGAAGCTTTATCAGTGAATTTCCTTCATCAACAGGATTTAAACTTTGCTTTTATTTATTTTTTTATTCTATGCCCTGTCTGTTTTCAATGGTGTTTGTATTAGGTTAAGCCTAACCTCCAGATTATTTGAGAGTTTATTAAATTTGCTTCCTTGCAGCTTAGTTTGAGACCAACAGTGGCTGAACTTCAGGCACGAAGAATCTTACGATTTAACGAATATGTGGAAGTAACAGATTCACCAGATTATGATCGACGTGCTGATAAGCCCTGGGCAAGATTAACACCTGCAGACAAGGTAAGTAGCATAAATCTTGCATGCATCAGTGAATGTGAGTGAGTGAGTGAGTGAATGAATGGCTGAAATATTAAATACATTGTCTTTCTGTATCTCAAAATAATTCTTCCTCAATTAAGATTTCATGTACCTCCAAACAAGATTTCTTTTAATGTGATTGTTCTAGAACTATTTTAAAATAAAATTTAAAGTTCAGTCCAGAAAAAACAGTGCACTAAATCCAGCTTCCTTGTCACTGAGTAATTATTTTTCATACCCTAATATTTGTGGAATGTTGAAATATAGATAGTCTGTGTTTGACAATTGCTCATTTCAGCGATTGTTCAAGAATTATAATGGTGCTGAATGAAGGGTTAGGGTTACAACCTGGGCCTGAAGTTACAGCTGTTGTATCACTACCGCAATTACATGGTGAAAATTCAGGCACCTGGCAATTGCCCTTATGATCTCTAGGATCTCCCCCCACCTATTCTCTTAAATACACAGGAATTTCAATGGCATAGGTGAAGCAGCCCCTTCATGAAGGACCAACCACTGGGAAGCCCCAGCCCAGCCTTGCTTGAGGGTTGGGAGCATGCACCATTCCAGCAATTCCAGGATGGAAAGCAGGAATTAGGCAGGCCACAGGGATGGGTGCAGTGGTGGGATTCAGTCGGTTCGCTAATTTCTTTTGAGTTTGGAGAACCGATTGATGCATGGCAGAAACGCCCCACCTCCCACCCCGATTGGACCCATGCAACACCTTTTTTCCAGCTCCGACACAGTCCTTCATCATTTCCTCCACCACCGTGGGCAGTCCCACAAACAAAAGAAGTTTGTGGGACTAAAAAAAAAAGTTCAATCAATTCCGACTTCACAAGATTTTTTTTGTTCATGAGAAGTTGGAATTGATTGATTGAACTTTTTTTTTTACTTCCACAAACTTCTTTTGTTTGTGGAACTGCCCACGGTGGTGGAGGAAGTGATGGAGGAGCTGGAAAGAAGGGTAGAAAAGAAATGGTTTGGGAAGTGAGGGTATCTGGACAGTGGTGGGTGGGGCAACCTTTCCAGAAAAATGCTTTCCAGCTCCGGTGTTCCACCTGCCACTTTGGTGGCTGTGTGGGCAGAGCTGCAAACAGGGTTCAGAAGGGAAGTGGGCAGGTGAGGGGGGTCTGCCAAAACAATCCAGAGGAAAAGACAAAAAGCAGCCCCTGCCTTGCCCGCTGCCAGCAGTTCAGAGAAGCCGCCTCTGAGCTGGACGGCTGGCCAGCAGCTGAGGAGGTGCTGCAGTGGGTTGAGCATGCGAGGCCGGGAGGGCCGGGACTGGGGGGGAAGGAAACCAGCCATGCCAGGATACATCCGGCCACGTGGGACCCCGGCGAGTTAGCAGGCAGCTGGTTAAAGAGAGGGACAGTTGCGGTTCTGCCTGCTCTATTACGCAGCAGGCTATTGACAGGAAGCCTGCTCCATTTCATTAAAATTAAAAAAATAGGTTTTTTTAATGCCTATAATATTATGCTTTAATGTATCGTATTTTCTTTATTGTTTCCAGTCGTGTGTTTTATGTATCTCCCTAGAATAGAAGATGCTGAAGTTCTAGAAACAGTTCGTTCTTTTGAGAGATGTAGACAGATATTTTAGACCTATTTTAATTGTAAAGGAAATTCTACCAGACTGATATATGAAATATATATGAAATATATATTATTCTTCAGCAATGATTTGATAGATTTGAAACTCAGAGTAAGTTTAAGGACCTCTCTCTTATTTTGAGTAGTAGGTTTCTCCTAATATATTTTATGGGTAAGTTTGTTGCTTTTTAATTAAGCTTGAAACACTACACTGTCCAATCTCACATAGTAAAATATTCAGCTTTACTAAATATAGAGTAAATATAGAATCGTATATATAAATTGAACAAACAAATAAAACTTCATGAAATAAGAAGAGAAAAAGAAAGTTAAATGCAACAGATGCAAACAAGAGTAAGTATTAGGGGGTGCAAACTATTATCCTTCAGAGCTTTTGACTAGCACCCATAAATCCTTAGAAATTTAGCCAGTGGTTAGGGATTATGAAATTTGGCTCACAAAATGTATTTTGCCTCTTTTTGAGATTGACCACTTCGTTACATTGTAGATATTTATGTATTTCCATTTAAAGCTGCAGCTCCCAACCTTTTCTATACCCCACGCCCCTGGAACGCTTCTGATATAGTCTCACACCCCTTAACAAAAGTTTGAAATAACGGCAACAAACTACGCATATACATTATAATTTTGAAAACCCAAGTGTTTGCCCCCCCTGGAATATCGTCTCACACTCCCAGCGGGTGTGAGCACCCCTGGTTGGGAAACCCTGATTTAAAGCAATCTGAGTTCACATTTTGTGTTTTCTTTCATCAGGCAGCAATACGGAAAGAATTAAATGAATTCAAAAGCACAGAAATGGAAGTACATGAAGAAAGTAGACAGTTTACAAGGTAAGAAACCAGGCGCAGATAGCAAACTCCTTTAAAACAAATTACTCCTGAACTCTTCAGATCATGTATTGTGCTGAAGAGATTATTTTTCTCAGTAAATTGAGGAAAAAATGTTGGATTATTAGTTTACTGTTTATTGAAAATAAGAATCAATAAGAACTCATTAATTTGTGATAGATTGCTTCTTAAACCTGAAATAGTATTTTACTTTTTGCATCTCAATAGGTTGATTAATACACATGCTCTACCGCCCCTCCTTAAATACAGTGTATTGACATCATGACTGCTAGCTTGCCAGATACTGAATAATTTTCTTTCTCTGAAGTCTTGACAAAATGTGGAGACTTCATAAGCTCCAACTGAGCTGCTAGTGGTGGCTACTAAATGACAAATACTTCTGAGAATCAAATGATTCACTTGCATATCATCTACCCTTCAATTAAAATACTGGTCTTATGTCCAAATGCTGTTATCTTAAAATTGGTAGTGATATAGCTAAAAACATCTTCTGGTTTTGCCTTTGGTCTGGCAATATAAATGCTGAGAAATTATTTGATTAATCAAGAAAACTAATTTTTGTTAAGGGATTTTAAAGTTTTTTCTTTTAATAAACAATATTCTAACTGATTTGTTTGCTCCTTTATTGTGACATATGAAAGCAAGATTTTAAAAAACATTAACTTAGGAATTTATCAACAATTCCTTGGCTATGGTTTTGGGGACTTTATTTGGATTAGGGAAAAACAGAACTTCCAGAAATGTTTAGCTGCAGCAAAAAGTTAACCATTTTATTCTTACGAATTCAGCATCTTAGCAAGATAATGCTAAGATAATGCATTTTCTTCTTCTGTAGTACACTGTGGGAGCCTATTACTCTTTTCCACAAATGCATCCCCTATCCCCTTTCATTCACACTACTGTTCTTCCTATCCCAAGTGCACAGAAATGACTATTCTCTTCTAGTTTCCTTTTTAGACTAGAATAGAGCTGGAAGGGACCTTGGAGGTCTTCTATCCAGCCTCCTGCTCAAGCAGGAGAACCTATACCATCTCAGTCAAAATGACTGTCCAGTCTCTTCTTTAAAACCTTCAGTGATGGAGCACCCACGATTTCTGGAGGAAAGCTGTTCCTCTGGTTAATTGTCCTCACTGTCAGGAAGTTTCTCCTTAATTCCAGGTTGCTTCTCTCTTTGATCAGTTTCCAACCATTGTTTCTCGTCCTGCCCTCTGGTGCTTTGGAGAAAAACGTGACCCCTTCTTCTTTCTGACAGCCCCTCAAATACTGGAACACTGCTAGCATGTCTCCTCTATTTCTTCTTTCCTCAGCACAGTTTAGGAGTGGGATTTGGGTATGTATATGTCAGTGTGTGTTTGTGCATATATGGGCTGCGCATTCAGTGTTGCGTGGAATCTTCAGAGCTATAAAGAGCTTATTGTCCATAAATTAATATAGTATCAACAGTATTCAGTGTGAGAAGGCAAGTGGATAATACTGAGTTGCTATAATGCTTATCAAAAATCTAGTGATTTCTCAATGTATAGCAATGCAGTCATTGCTCTGTGGTAAATTACATCCAGTCTGGTAAAATCCAGACTAGAGTATTATGTGTCTCTTGTTTTCTACTTTTGTATCACATGACTACTTCTGCATATTGCTGGAACTTGTGATGGTGGTATATATTATAGTTGCATCAGCCTGTTTTTTTCCTGCAATCAATATTGTGATTTAGTTTCTGATTTTGACAGAGTAGGGATTGTATTTTACTCAGATTATTTATTTCTGTCATTACGTTGTCCAAAAATAGTTCTCAAATTATTACATTATTGATTCAGATGTTCAATTCTTAAGCTGCAGGTTATAGTAATCTGGCACTTAGTTCAATATGTGTGTACAATTTCAAATTATTGCAAACATAATAACAAGAAACAGACAAGAATCTCTTATAATGATGGCCCGTAAATTTGAAATTTATAGAGGCACAAATGATGTGCTTTTCTATGAGTGGCTTCAGACATGATCAAAAGCTAAAATCCTTGTTCCTGTACATGGATTCAATGATGCAAGACTTTGTTCTATTAGTTCTCCCTTCTCTGAAACAAATGAAATAATAACAATAAGAGGGCAACATACTGTTCTTAACTTGAACAATGCCCAAGTATGTGAAACAGTGTCTAAACAAAGGGTTCCTATCAATACTTTTTTTTGTCCAAGGGATCTCAGTTCATTACTAGTTCGGAAGCTTTTTGTCTTTCTAAACCTTTCAAGATAACTCATTTTAATCCGTGGGTTTATTAAAATATTATTCGTGATCGTATAGCACACAATGAACCAAGAAATAAATAAAAGTATTCATTAATACTTAAAAATTTAGCAGCAATGTTAGTCAGATTTGAATATGCTTTTGAAATATGGATTCAATTTTATAAAGAAAGTAGTATATATGGTATGGTTATTATGTGGGTGTTTTAGCATTTGGAATTTGAATATTTGAAGTTTACAGTTGTTCTGATCTTTTCTTGTACCTTGAGGATAATGAGAAAAAAATCAAAACAATAAATTTTATTTCTCACCTTCAGGTTTCATCGTCCTTAAGTGTTGAAAATACTCTGTTGTTGAGCACAAATATCTTTCCTGAGGAAAGTCCTCCATCTTGAAGCCCAGAGTACATCACAACTGAAATGTCTGCAGCACCTTAAAACCTGAAGTTACTCTATATTGTGGATCCTCATATTTTAACAAAAAGAGACCACTAGAAGAGATACAGAAAAAAATATACAAATGGCCATGTAATATGAATGTTTATTATTTTCTTTGAATAAAAAAAATCTTACCGTTTTTTCCTTACTAACAGTTGACTGGGGTGAACTGAAAATGACTATTGACAAGAAGGAAGCACAGTCCACTTTCAAATAGGATGGAAACAGATATAGCTGAACTATTTGTGGGCCAACTGATAGAATAAAAAAAATTTTCTTCATGGAAGTAAGTTTATACTATATTAAAAGGCAAGATAAAAAAAACTAGGAATGTGAAGAATTCTCTTTCTGTCTTCCAGAATGTTTTTTTTTTTTTTTGAGAATTGCCAACTCTACTTCTCATAAATAGTACAGTAATTTGATGTAATATCAGTGAATTTGGCAGTAATTGGTACAATTCACAGTTATGTTTATGATTGTATGATTATGAATTCCAAATGTCCACTGGGGGTTGCAATTTTGAGTACAGCTAGATTATATGAGTTGTACAATATTAAAACCGCTAAGTGTATCTTTATTATTTAGGATTGCAACACAAATTATTTTTTTTAATCTGATAAATTTAAAAGAAGCACCAAGGATTCTCTGTAGTCATGAATCAGTTGAAAAGTATTTTTAGAAAATGAATAATGTGAGACAATTAGAATACTGTGAAAAGAACTGATAACCTTTAATCTTGCTTAATCAGACAATAATGATAATCAGATTTTGAAGCCAAACTTAAAAGTCAACAAAGATGAAATACACATGAACATTTTCCCCCCTTTTTGATAGTTTGAGCAATATTTAATTGGTCAGTAAGAACAATGTAAGATCAAGAGGATGATTTATATTGAAATCAGGATTTATTTCTATCAGAATAGGAAAAGTGATGATAGGAGTTTTTGGGGCGGGGAGGGCTGGCAAATCGTATAGAACAGGAGTGTCAAACTCACAACGTCACGTGACGTATTGTGACATATTGCGACTTTTTTTCCATTGCCGGCAATGGGACGGGCGCAGTTTCAGCATGACGCATACAGCCCACAGGCTGGCAGTTTGACACCCCTGATATAGAATAAATTGGCATTACATTGCCATGTTTGGGACTGTAGTAAATCTTCCTTGTAACAAACTAATGGGATAGAAGTGGATGTCCTTTACACTGAAATGGCTGTTCAAAGGCAAATGGATGTCTATGCACAAGTAAAAATGTCAATATACATATGTACAATGGCAAGTGGATTTTTGTTGCATCTGAACCAAATCCAATTAGTTTGAAGTTTTACTGCATTTGCAAATAAAACTCTTACGGACACAAGTCTCCCCTGCTTGAGCATACCACCTGCACATGGATGGATTCCTACCACAACAGTGCTTTGTTTCTCTTTCCTTTGCCTCTTTGCCATCACACCAGTCAGCCTGAGGAATGGGAGTCTTGCCCACATTTTTGTTCAATCTATCCTTCCACTGTGAGAAGAGGGATAACAGGGATATCCAAAAGAAATAGTTTTTCTGTTCTCCAAAGCACCTATTGCACTGAACATCTCCATGCTAAGGAAGTAAAGGGACAAAGCAGAGCACTATTATATGATAGAAAGATCCCTGATCACAGAATCCCTTTCCCCCCCTCCCCCGCAACTGTTATTAACTGAGAATTTGAAATATTTTTTGATATTGACTAAAAGTATTCAGTGCTGTAGTTTAGCAGCATTTGGAATGATTTAGGTTTTGTCCTTTGCCTTAGCAAGTTGATGACCCACTTTAATAGGAAAAGGACTTGCTTTTCTAGACATACATTAAATCCTCATTTAGGACCATGAGAAAACTACAAAAGGGGCTTTAAACTTACAGCTTTTGTTGTGTGTGGTTATGTGGAGCAAATGGTCTACTTTTATATTATCTTGTAACTGTATTTGTGAATATCCAATTAGTATAACAGTAAAAGGTGGTGTGCTTTAATTATGTTGGTCCAAAATATGGTGGCTTATTATAAGCCCATGACATTGTTTACACTAAAAATTGTCTTATATTAGCACTTATTTATCCTTTTAACGTACACAGTAAAGCTTAAGGACCTGAAATACACAAGGGCATGTACTGCAGTATTACAATATATGTATTATTTATCCTTTTTGAAGTCTGTACATACTACCATTTATTTTTGTCCATGTGTTCTCTTTAGTTCCTAATGATAAAAAATATGTATTTTTTTCAGCAATAAATGATCTCTGTCATGATTTTTTAACGTCAGAACTTTCATTCCTTTCTTTTAATTAAGAAATTCAATTTTTTATCAGAATTATTTTATATGCGTGTACTTCGAAATGACCTACTGAGTTTACTGAGAGCCTAGCCATATGCCTGTGTAAATGTATAAAGCATTATGTTCTAAAAAAAATTTAAAGCAACCTAAGTGTGACTGATTAACACAACAGAGGCAGTTCATATAGCAAACAGGACTATTAATAAGAAAATACAGATTCGAACTAGGTTTAAGAAGAATAAAATAAAATAATTAGAGGAGGGGCTTCCAGATTACCTGTGTTAGTTTTAAGGATGGTCAGCATGTGGCAGTTTTTGTTTGAGTGCAGATAGATAGATTTTTATTTCGATGAAAACTTCCAGATAATTCCAAGGTTGTATGTTAGAAGTAAAACAATCTTGAAGAACATATTTTTTTCTGCACCGTTGCCAAGAAAAACATGGATGTGTCTATTTGGGCAGAAAAAAATCTAGATAACCACTGCTACCGTAGATGATTCTGCCTTTCTGCTATCATCATGTGATTATCCAGATGTTTGCAGATTTTATAGATGATTTCAGATATGGTATCTTTAATAGTCCCAGGACTCAAACTTAAATGAAAAGATTCCTTGGTGCTCTCTGAATTTGGATGTTTGCTTGCAGATATTCATTATCCAACTGTGTTGAAAATATTGTTGATAGTATTAATGTGTCTTCTCTAGTTGTTTCTTAATCCAAGATTAGAGAGCACCAAGGACTCTACAGTTCAACCCTGAAGTATATATAATCTCTTCTATTGGAATCAAATGAAAGAGTTATTTTCCATTTTTCCTTTTTTTATAAGATACAAAAATATAGCTATACAGCACCATCCACAGACTAGCTGTATATTTTAATTTAGGATATTGTGCAATATTGGAGGAGTATCAAAACTCTTTTGAATTGTAATATCCAATTTTAACAAATTTTGGTTGTGATATAAATATAAAAAATTAAGAATCTTGCCCTCTTTCTTTTTTATTGCTTTTATTTCATCTTTTTACATTGTAATGTTTGAAAGCAGATACAGTCTGAGATCTTTGTCTGGTCTAAAAGCAGGAATATATATAAGCAACCTAGTTTGATGTTAATATTATAAAACAAGGCACTCCTGTAAATATTCAAACTCATAGTTTACCTTTTTAATAACTTAACTAGAAGTTCTTCACAGATAGGCCATATATCTGCCATTTAAGTCCCCTCTAGGCAAGATGAGTGACATGTACGTTTACTAAAAAAATAAAATAGATCACTTTAGTTCAGTCAAACTCCAAAACAAAACAAAATCATGCCACACAATCTTTTTGCATACTTTGACAAAGTAACTTAACTAGTGGACCAGCAAAATTTGTGGACATAGTATATTTTGACTTCATTGAGGCATTTGACAAGGTAGACCACAACTTACTTCTTGGTAAGATAGAAAAATATAGAACAAACACCATGGATTCGTAACTGGCTGATCAATCACACTCGATGAAATTACATCCACATGGAGGGAAGCATGCAGTGGAATACTGCAAGCTTCTGTCTTAGGCCCAGTAAGTTTTCAATATCTTTATAAATGATTTAGATGAAGGGATAGAAAGGGAACTCATCAAACTTGCAGACAACACCAATCTGGGGGAAATAGCCAACACTTTAGAACAGTGTTTCTCAACCTCAGCAATTTTAAGATGTGTGGACTTCAACTTCCAGAATTCTCCAGCCAGCATGCTGGCTGAGGAATTCTGGGACTTGAAGTCCACAAATCGTAAAGTTGTTGAGGTTGAGAAACACTGCTTTAGAAGATAGGCTCAAGATCCAGAAGGATCTTGACAAGACTTGAGCATTGGGCCCTAGCCAATAAAATACAACTCAGTGATGGGAAAAATAAGAGCTTATACTTAGGCAAGAAAAGCCAAACACAGAGTTATAGAATAGGTGATACCTGGCTTAACAGCAGTAATTGTGAGAGAGATCTAGGAGACCTAATGAACAATCACTTCATTTAGCAGTGTGATGCAGCTGCTCAAACAGCCAATGCAGTCCTAGGTTACACCCCCAGAGGGATAGGATCAGGATCACGTGAAAGTATCACTTTATGCTGCACTGGTAAGGCCACACTTGAAATACTGCATTGCTCACCACAATACAAAAAAATACATTGAGACTCAGAAACTAAGTACAGAGAAGAGGAACAAAGATAAATATCGAAGACTGGAGGTAAAAAGTATAGGATGGAGAGTTGCAGGAACTAGATATTAGTCTAACGAAGAGAAGGACTTGGGGTGAAAATGATAGCAATCTTCCAATATCTGAGAGGCTATCACAGAGACAAGGGAGCCGACCTATTCTCCAAAGTACCTGAGGGCAGGACAAGTAGTAACAGATGAAAGCTTTACAGCAATGGTTCTCAACCTTTTTAATGCCGCGACCCCCAACTGGTCGTACGTCGAGGATTAAACCGGTCATAAGTCGAGGACTAAACCAGTCGTAAGTTGAGGACTACCCAACCGGTCGTAAGTCGAGGACTTTCCCTGCCCGGGAGTGCTGCGCATGCGTGGTGCCACCCCCTGCGCCGGCTGAGGCGTAGCTGGCAAGCGGCAGAGACGGAGCAGGCCGACCACTGGCTGGGCCACCAGCTGGCCCAGCCCAAGGGAGGTAAGGCACCTGCCAGAAAAGGGGAAAAAAATGGCAGACAGCCTTGCTTGGCAACCCCCGTGAAATGGTCGATTGACCCCAAATGGGGTCGCGACCCATAGGTTGAGAACCGCTGCTTTACAGAGAGAGATTCAACCTAGAATTAAGTAGAATTTTCCTGTCAATGAGAACAATTAAGCAGTGGAATGCCTTGTCTTCAGCAATAGTGGGTGCTCCATCACTGGAGGTTTTTAAAGAAGAGACTGGACAGCCATTTGCTCAGATTGGTATAGTCTCCTGCTTGAGCAGGGGGTTGGACTAGAAGACTTCCAAGATCCCTTGCAACTCTTGTTATTCTTCAATTTAATATTACAAACGGAAAGATTTATAGTTCGTTAATATTCTTTTGTGGGAAGTCAGCCCCCCAGAGAAGGAAATATTAAAAGGGCAGAAAAATATATTTTCTCAAAGGATCTTAAAGAGACAGAAAAGCATGCCCAGTTTTTCTTAATAACCCCAAGTCTGCCTCCCCCAAGCAGAAACCAGCTTTGTACAAATGCAGATGTAAACCATCAGGAAAGTTGGAGCTAGATTAGGAAGACAAAGACCTAAAATCTGCATACCCCACCTGAGACAGGACATGATAGGATTAACTCACAAAGGCCAAAGGGCACACCCAAACTCAGGTCAGAATACATGACACAGGAAATAGCCTCAAAATAGGAACAGGAAATAACTCCAAACAAAAGGCTCCAGAGGGTATAAAAACCTACTCCCTACATGTGCTAAGCCTTTTTTTTTCACTTCTCTTGCTGCTAGAGCAGTGGTTCTCAACCTGTGGGTCAGGACCCCATTTGGGGTCGAACGACCATTTCACGGGGGTCACCAAACAAGGCTGTCCGCCATTTTTTCCCCTTTTCTTTGGCCACACCCCTGGCACCCGGTGATGTATAAGTGGTTGGGGGTCACTACAACATGGGGTACTGTATTATGGGGCACAGCATTAGAAAGGTTGAGAACCACTGTGCTAGAGCCATGTTTCTGTCTGGCTCCCCTCTTCAATAAGCTACAACCTTCTTCCCAAAGCAGTTGCCATGTTTATTCCTAGCTTGGATGACCACGATGAAGACTTTTCTTCCAACACTTTCACACAGTGACAAACATCACTGAGAGCAGGCAGAATAGACATTAATGACGAACGTCACTTAGAGCAGGCAAGCTCTAATTCACAAAAGATCACGTGAAAGAAATGATGCACTTCTTTTTTTCCCTATAAAGTGACATCACTGGAACTATAAACTATGCCGCTCTAGCCCTTTCTAAGCTGTTGCTCTTTTCTACCAATACTTCCGCTGGAAAAGGGAGAGCGCATTGTTGAGGCTTATTGTTTTGTTGGGATCATTTCCAGCGTGAACATGTTGTTATTGTCATGGAAAGGAAAAAAAATCTGTATACTCCATCCTCGCTTGACGATACTTTTAGCGCTGCCGGATATGTAGCCAACTAATTTATTTGCTTGCCACCCTTTTCAACAACAATTGGTACATTCCAAGAGTGCTAGAATTGCACCAACGAGATCGGAAACTGAGAGCGACAACTTGGGAAGACCGATCCCTTCCCGGAACCGGAAAACGTGAAGCAGCAAAGCTCGTTAGGGGGCGGAGCGGTCTGTTTGGGAACTGGCTCGTGGGTTCCGTGGGTTATTCGGCACTTGACGGTCATTATCGTCGGAGGCTCGCACAATGGTAAGCGGAGCGTGGCTTGAGCAGGCTCGCAGCCTTGGGCCGCAGCTGTCAGTTCTCCCACCTTTCCATGGAGGAAGATGGATAATCTGGGAAAGAAATGGAGGAAAATGTCAGGAAGTTCTTCCCATTGTCGTTTCACTAGTGGCGTGGCATGTATGAACTTGCTGTAACTTTCACGGGGGACGTTTCGTGATGGATGAGATCCAGCGAAATCCAAAGAGAGTCACCAGCACGTTCAGGCACCAGCACACGATGTCCTGTAATGCCATGCAGGCATTGAATCTGAGGCTGCATTACTTAGAAACACAGCTAATGTAAATATGCAGCTGTTAGATTGTGCTGGGTGGACAGTTAACGAAAATGATGTGGAATCAAGAACAGCTTACCATTTGAAAATTTATAATAATAAAATAATGGGATATTTGGGCAATTTAATAGGGTTTTGCCAGCAGGAAGCCTCCCACATAAATCCAAGTGATGACAGATTCTGGATGCTACACATATTTTATAATCTCATATAGCAACACTGAAAATCTTAACTGTTTTTAGGTTTACAGGATATATAGTTTTTCAGTGTTGCTATGTGAAGCCATTAAATAC